CTGAAAGGCAGAGGCTTTAACCCACTGAGCCACCCAGGTGCCCAAGATATACAGTATAAATATAAATACACAAATAAGTTAAAAGAAAAAGGATGGAAAAGATACTCTGGTAATACTAGTCAAAAGAAAGCTGGAGCAGCTATATTAATAACAGACAAGGTAGATTTCAGAGCAAAGACTTACTGAAATAAAGTAATTTCATAAATGATAAATAAGTCAATTAATCAAAATACACAACCCTGAACATATTGCAACTAATAACAAAGTTTCACAATACATGAAGCAAAAACGGATAGAACTTTTTTTTTTTTTTTTTAATTTATTTATTTGACAGACAGAGAGCACAAGCAGGGCCAGTGGCAGGCAAAGGTAAAGGGAGAAGCAGGCTTCCCACTGAGCAGGGAGCCCGATGCAGGCCTCCAGCCCAGGACCGTGGCTAGGATCATGACCTGAGCTGAAGGCAGATGCTTAACTGACTGAGCCGCCCAGGCACGCCCTGATAGAACTTCTTTAAGAAACAGACAAATGCACAAATTTAGCTGGAGATTTTGATAACCCACTCTGGGTAATTGATAGAAGAAGTAGCCAGGAAAACAGCAAGGACATAAACTTGAACAACTGCAACCAACCTGACTGATTGACGTTTATAAAGTGCTTCACCTGGGACGCCTGAGTGGCTCAGTTGGTTGGACGACTGCCTTCGGCTCAGGTCATGATCCTGGAGTCCTGGGATCGAGTCCCACATCGGGCTCCCAGCTCCATGGGGAGTCTGCTTCTCCCTCTGATCTTCTCCTCGCTCATGCTCTCTCTCACTGTCTCTCTCTCAAATAAATAAATAAAAATCTTAAAAAAAAATAAAGTGCTTCACCTTTCTTCACATTCCACCTTGCTTTCTTCAAACAACAGTAAAATACATATTCTTCTCAAGTGTACATGAAACATTTACCAAGATAGACCATGTTCTAGGTCATAGAACAAGTCTTGGTAAATTTAAAAGGATTCAAGTCGTACAAAGTATATTCTTAGACTACATTGACATTAAAATAGAAACCAATAACAGAAAGATCTTTGGAAAACTCCCAAGTATTTAAAAACGAATACACTTTTAAATAGCCCATAGATAAAAGAAATCAAAAGGGAATTTGAAAGTATTTTGAGCTGAATTAAAAGGAAAACACAACATACCAGAAGTTTAGGATATTGTTAAAGCAATATTTGGGGGAAACTTATAGCACTAAATGCTTCTATTTAAATAAAAGAAAACTCTTAAATCAATGACCTTAACTTCTACCTTAAGAAGTGAGGGAAAGAGGGGTGCCTGTGTGGCTCAGTCAGTTAAGGGTCTGACTCCAGATTTCAGCTCAGGTCATGATCTCAGGATTGTGAAAATGAGTCCTGTGTGTTGCTCCATGCTCAGCAGGGAATCTGTTCCAGATTCTCTCCCTCTGCCTCTGCCCCTTTCCCCATTCAAGTGCTGTCTCTCAAATAAATCTTTTTTTTTTCCCCAAGACTTTATTTATTTAAGAGAGAGAGAGAGAGAGAGAGAGAGACAGTGAGAGAGTGAACACAAGGGGGCAGTGGGAGAGGGAGAAGCAGGCTTCCCGAGGAGCAGGGAGCCCAATGTGGGGCTTGATCCCAGGACCCCAGGATCATGACCTGAGTTGAAGGCAGACTCCTAATGACTGAGCCACCCAGGCACCCCTCAAATAAACGAATCTTAATAAAAAAAGAAATGAGGAAAAGGAATATAAACTACATCTAATCATAAAAAAACAGTAAAGATAAAAGCAGAAATCAATAGAACATAGAAAACAACAACAATAACAACAACAACCAGTGTTTGCCATGTGCCAGGCGGTACAGGTACTGAGCTTACATAGATGGTCCCACTCCTTGAGGATCCAACTAGTAAGTTAGATGTACATCAGTTTAAAAATAATAACATCAGAATGCTAACAACTATCATGATGGGATACTCAAGGTGTTGGGCTTATTTTTATTTATTATTTATTTATTTGACAGAGAAAGAGAGAGAGAGAGAGAGATCACAAGTAGGCAGAGAGGCAGGAAGGGGGGTGAGAAGCAGTTCCCGCTGAGCAGAGCCCAACATGGGACTCCATCCCAGGACCCTGAGACCATGACCCAAGCCAAAGGCAGAGGCTTAACCTAATGAACCACCCCAAGGTGTTGTGCTTGTAAGGAAAAGTGAAGACAGTGGTGCAGAATTCAGGCCCTAGAGACAAAGACCTTTAAGTTCCACTTTGTGTGGCCCTGGGCAAATGATAAAACCTTAATTTTGTTTTCCTTTTCAAGAACATGGATTTAATAAAATTCCCTGCACTGCGTAAGGCTGTTTTAAGGATTAAAGAACGTGGGGCTCCTGAGTGGCTCAGTCGGTTAAGTGTCTGTCTTTGGCTTGAGTTGTGATTTTAGGGTTCTGGGATAGAGCCCCATGTGGGGCTCCCTGCTCAGCGGGGAATCTGCTTCTCCCTCTTCCTCTGGCCCTTCTCCAGCAGGTGCTCTCCCTCGCATGCGCTATCAAATAGAATCTTAAAAAAAAAAAAAAAAGATTAAAGAATGCCTAGCACATAGCAAATCTTCATCAAATGTCAGGTACTATCATTAAAATGTGGGTCCCATCCATCCCAAAGATAGAAGGTGGTGAAAGAGGGAGGCATGGCCAGGCAAAGGCTCTCACTCCCCAGGAAACTACTCATTTCCACTCTATTTTCTGCTGTCAAGTAAAACTAGGCGCATAAGTTTAGAATTCATTACAACTGAAACTGAGGCTTTATGGTGTCGTGGTTATTACATTAGCTCAATACAAAAAGAAGTGGTTTAAACCAGGTGGAAATAGTATATCTTGAGGCATGATATGACATAGATTGAAAATAGGCTCTGTAGTCAGTTGCCTTGCTCATATGCATACTCTGCCACTTACTGGCTATTTAACTTGGACAAGTTCCTCGTATCCTCCAACTTCAGCTTTCCTCATCTGTAAAAGGGGCACAAAGAGTACCTACTTTACGGAGGTGCATGGAGTATTAAATAATATACAAATATCACCACTGGGGGCGCCTGGGTGGCTCAGTGGGTTAAAGCCTCTGCCTTCGGCTCAGGTCAAGATCCTGGGGTCATGGGATCGAGCCCCGCATCGGGCTCTCTGCTCAGCGGGTAGCCTGCTTCCCCCTCTCTCTCTGCCTGCCTCTCTGCCCACTTATCTCTGTCAAATAAATAATATCTTCAAAAAAATAAGTATCACCACTGTCTTGCTCAAAGCTTGTAACATATATGGTTTTGGAAGTAGGTTTTAATCCTAGTTCTGCTCAATAGTTAGGTGATCTTGGGCATTACTAATCCCTTAAACTCTCCTAGAAATAGGGCTGGTTCTGAGATAAACTTGGTTTAGTAATAGCTATTTATTCGACAAAACTTATTAGATACCGTATCCCAGGTTGTCCGCTTGGTAAGCGGTATTTAAGACTCCTACTTATATGAAACTAAGCTTTTTACAAAATAACTAATTTCTCATTAGAACACCAACAGGTAGGTACTTTAATCATCCCCATTCTGTGGATGAAAAAAAAGGAGGCAGAGGTTAAGGGGCTTGCCCAAGGTCACATGCACAGCAAGTGGTGCTATTTGGATTCAAACCAGGCAGGCTCTGACTCCAAGACCAAGTTTAGCAATGATGGATAGGACTGCCTACACTCAGAAAAAGGCTAGAAGAGCCCGTTTGAAAAAGCCTAGACAGGTAAGCTGAAAGCAGGAGGCCGAAAGGGCCTAGAATACCTACTGACCGCTTTGCTTCAGCTACACAGAGAATGCGTTATTTCCTGCTCAGCAGGTTACCCTGCCTGTGTTCACTTGTACTAGAAACTAAACTCCCTGCCTGATTCTAAAGGGAAAACTAACACCATTCAGACATTTTACTGAGCACCTCCTCTCAGTAGGCTGCTTATGAGAGCTGGACAAAAGGCTGGCCCAGGTATAGAAGTTCCCTCCCAGCAAGTCTACAGGTGTGGTTTTGTGCAGAGGCTCTACTCAGCTGTTGGCTTGGACAATTAGCCTATTTGTTAAATCTAATACCTACCTCCGTCATGAATATATGCCAAGCTTACAATAGTGCCCGGCACAGGTTAAGTACAAATGTAGTTTTAACAGATGACCTCAAGTCTTATTCCTTAAAAATAAGCCCAAGCAGCTCTCCCGGGTTTCCTATAATGGCTATGAACACTTACCTAGCTTCAGTTCTATCCTCTGGCCCTGAATTGGAAGTAGTCTGCCCAGATGTTCCAAGATTACTCAAAATCACCCACTTCCCTTAAACTTAACCCTGATGACTTCTAACTGGCCACATGGCCGTTAAAAGCCCCCTCCCCACCTTATGTTCATTTAGCCCCACTCTGGATCTAGACTCTACCTTCTAGATGGTTCCCTGCTAGTCCCCATCTTTCAGGGTCTCAACTGCCCTATAATGCTGGCAGCTAGTATGAGCTTAACAAGATTCCCATTGTGACTCAATCCTACATCACTCATAGGCAGGATGACAATTTTCTCAGGCTTAAGTCCCACTTGGAACATTGGCAGTAGAGGCTCAACTACCTTAATAGTGTGTGATTTTTGCATTTATGCCCAATCCTGTTAAGGCCAATTTACCTGTACTATATTGTGGGATAAGGCTTGGTCTAATTAGTAACTCTGATCTCTGAACACTCATGTCCAGGTGTATGTTGTCTTTCATGACACACCTAAATTTATTATTCTAAGCTCTACCCACCTTTGAATGCAACCTTTTACCTGTAACTGGTAGGAATCACACATTTCCCCACATGAGAATGTGTAACACATTGTCACACAAGTGACAAGACACACAAGCTCAGCCTCTTTAGTTAATGCAGAACTAATCAAACATTAACTGCAAAGGTAGTTTTCCCAAAACAAGCACTTCCATTTGCAGAATACAGTTGTCTCATTTCCACAAAAAAAAGGGAGCCACACAAGTATCTAGTCATCTTTATTATAATTCATAAATACATTATAAACAGACCTGCATCTTTAAGACATACTTTGGATCTCATAGGCTTCTGTTCTCCATTCAGTTATGTAGTTATAAAACCCAGTTTACTTGAGAATAGTAGAAAAGGCCAAACTAGTATCTTAATTTCCTTAGGACCAGTTCTCTCTTCATAGGCATTCTGGAATCTTTGGGACCAGACGGTTTTATTTATTTTTTTTTCAAAGGACCAGACTGTTTTAATAGATATGGCCACATTCAGTCCTGTCCGCATTAGTCAAATTTTACTGGGCACCTGTCCTATAGAACATTAAACTTGTTCCCCAAATTTAGTATTAACGGCAGTTTGAAAAAAACGGGTCAAATATGCTCAAGCTTCCAAACTTCCAGGCTTATCTTAGAAAACAACATTTATCATTCATTTTACCAACCCTCCCTGCCAAAGAAAGGACCCAAAAGGTTAAGTATTAACAGCCAATGTTAGGTGAAGCTCCTCTTCTCTCCTGAATGAAAACAAATAAAGAGGATCAGACTCATATTCACGATCTCACTAAAAATTCTGAGTTCTCATTAGATGTTTCCTGCATGGTTTGTCTCCTCAGTCATGGTCCAAAGGACTCTGAGAAGCTGTAGGAATATGCAGGCGCAGACTCAAGGCCCAGCTTCATCTCCAACGTCATGGAAAGGGACTATACGTCATGGGGCAGGGCCCTATGCTCCCATACGCCACCTGGACAGAGCCCGGGGAGAGTGACCTCCCGGGTGTATCCACGTTGGAATGCCTATGATTAAACAGCATCACCCTCAAAACATTTAAGAAATTTCATTTTCCCCCATTCCATGCTACACAAGTGAATGTGACAAAAGCCTGTTAAAAACCCAGTTGTTACTACTGTCTCATGGTTTCTCTACTTAATTACTCATGGTCTTAGCAATATTCAGGTACATACACCCATCTTCATCTCAGGGAAAGGGCTTGTACTAGAGACCAAATCCTTGGTAACCATACACAGACTTTGCGGTTGTATGCACATTTGCTTTAACTATGATTTGCATGCACACTTTGATAATCTTGACTTTGGTTAATTCACCCCAACTGTTAAGAATTTTCCCATTAGCACAGAAGTTTCCACCCTAGCACATGACAAAGATGTGAAAATATTAACTTCTACAGAATAACAAGCTATCTTCCCAGATATGAGCATACATTTACAAAACTGTCAACATGTCAACAAAATGCAGCAGTTTCTATCTGGGTGTATTAAATGGCAGGAACATATTCATGAAAATGTGTGACTTAAATGGGCTAGGGTGACTTAAATGTCAACGGGAAAACACAAGCCAAAAACAATTCTTACCCCAAATTCTTTGGTTTACTTACCTTAAGTCAATTTATTTGGAATCCTGAGCGATCCCTGCAAAACAAAGTAGGCAAGACTTTAATCCAGTAATACAGCAGCTGATAAAGAGATTTTTCTTTCCAGTCAACCTAGATCCAGATAGAGGGTGCTCTATAGAGCTGTTTCCTGCATGGTTTGTCTCCTCAGTCATGGTCCAGAGGACTCTGAGAAGCTGTAGGAATATGCAGGCGCAGACTCAAGGCCCAGCTTCATCTCCAACGTAGTGGAAAGGGACCATACGTCACGGGGCAGAGCCCTATGCTCCCGTACGCCACCTGGACAGAGCCCGGGGAGAGTGACCTCCCGGGAATATCCACGTTGGTCACTGTCATTTACTTAACTTGCAAGCTACTGAGTTAGAAATAAATTTCAAGGGGCGCCTGGGTGGCTCAGTGGTTAAAGCCTCTGCCTTCGGCTCAGGTCATGATCCCAGGGTCATGGGATCGAGCCTCACATCGGGCTCTCTGCTCGGCAGGGAGCCTGCCTCTTCCTCCTCTCTCTCTCTGCCTGCCTCTCTGCCTACTTGTGCTCTGTCAAATAAATGAAAATCTTTAAAAAAAAAAAAAAAAAAAAAGAAAGAAATTTCAACCAGTTGACCGCTACTTCCCCAGGATATCCACTTTGGGGTGGACCCAGAATTCCCAAGTGCCAACGAAACTCGAGTTAAAGACCGATCAGCAGTCTCTTGCTAGTGATCTAAACGCACTTTCAGCCAGGAACCCCAAACATATCTGCAAACCCCAACAGGCGATTAGCACTACTGTCAAAGAAATAGCAAATGCAGAGCCGCTGACACAGCAATTACGGCTCCTACCCATAAACCGGTCATCAGGAGTCGTGACCCCTCCTTACATCATAAAGGAAGTGGGAGAATTAAGAATCGTCCGTTTGAAATCGATTAAGCTCAGATGGGTGTCAATTAAAGGATCTGCATGCGGTCCCACCGCCTCGTGGGAGACAAGCTCATAAGCCGGGAGATGGGCAACAGGGCGGGGGTGGGCCGCGCATTTAGCGACCCGCGCGGGAGGTGGCACCTCAGCAGGTTTTGGCGCGAGTGCCTTAGATTATGGGCAAGACCCGCGGCTCGCGAGGCCTCAGCGGCCCACATCCGGCCCAATTGTGCTGCACGAGTAAGCGTAGTTAGCACGGACACCGCTGAAGGGAATCCTGGAGAGGAAGAAGCCTAAAAAGAAATATGGTTGGCGGGACTGGGGTACTATACCTAGAACTAACGAATCGAACGGGTAAATAGACTCACCAGCTGCCCAAAACGCAAAGCCACAACTCTCTCGAAAAGACCGAGCAAACCCTCGGGCATCTATATTTATACGTTCTGAAGCGCGCGGAAGTCAAGGTTTACCTATTACGCCTGCGCATCGCCCTGCGCAGTTAGGGAACCGGAAATTCGCTAAGGGTTCTGGGAACCACTGCGACTTAAGCCCCACCCCTACCTGGTTCGGAGGCTTCTCGCGACAATTGGGCCCTCGCGCGGGAACCTTGCTGGGGAACGTAAATGACTATAGCGGGGTTTAGAAATATGTAGTCCTTGCGGAGTGGCAAGTTCACTTCTAGGCAATCCGCTAACTCAATCTGCAGGATGTACGCTCAAATAAAGTCGCCACCCCCCCAACACTGGAGTAATTATATGCAAAATCGAAAAAGCCATCTAGAAAAATGCACACTCACAAAAGCGATTGAATCCGTCCTGTCATATGTGAAATTAAACATTTGATAAATGAGTAGATAAATAGGACAGAAATACTTCTACGAACTGGCTAATTAAAAAAAAAAAAAAGATTTTACTTATTGGGTCGCCTGGGTAGCTCAGTCGGTTAAACGGCTGCCTTTGGCTGAGTTCATGATCCCAGCATCGTAGGATCGAGCCCCGCGTGGGGCTTCTGGCTCAGCAGGGCGTCTCCCCCTCTGTGCTCTATCTCGCGCTCTTGTTCTCTCAAGTAAATAAAATTTTTTAAAAAGAAAAGATTTTAGGGGCACCTGGGTGGCTCAGTGGGTTAAAGCCTCTGCTTCGGCTCGGGTCATGATCCCGGGGTCCTGGGATCGAGCCCCGCATCGGACTCTCTGCTCAGCGGGGAGACTGCTTCCTCCTCTCTCTGCCTGCCTCTCTGCCTACTTGTGATTTCTGTCTGTCAAATAAATAAATAAAATCTTAAAAAAAAAAAAAAAGAAAGAAAATATTTTATTTATTTATTTATCTGAGAGAGAGAGAGAAAGTACGAGCCGGGAGAGAGAGAGAAAGAGAGACAGAAGCAGCCACCTGCTGAGTGGGGAGCCCTTTGCGGAACTGGAATGACCCTAGGGAGGATGCCACTTAACCGACGAAGCCACTAGGAGCCCAAATAAATAAATAAGGCTAAAATCAAAACCCTCCTATACAGAACAATGGATGTATTTAATACAAATGAACTGTACACTTAAAAATGGTTAAAAAGGTAAATTTTACATTAAGCATATTTTAACACACACTCCCCTAATATAAAGAAGTAGGCAAGTAGAGAATTCTGGAGATACATATTACATGTGAAATGTTGCAAATGTGATAGAACTTTGAATATGGTGTTAAGCGAATAAAGATTAGGTAATAGGTAATAATGAGTGGAGATATTTATAGTGTTCCTCCTAAAAGATTTTGTGCTCCACCCCCTTTTTTAAAAAAAGATTTCTGGGGCGCCTGGGTGGCTCAGTGGGTTAAGCCGCTGCCTTCGGCTCAGGTCATGATCTCAGGGTCCTGGGATCGAGCCCCGCATCGGGCTCTCTGCTCAGCAGGGCCTGCTTCCTCCTCTCTCTCTGCCTGCCTCTCTGCCTGCTTGTGATTTCTCTCTGTCAAATAAATAAATAAAAATCTTAAAAAAAAAAAAAAAAAAAGATTTCTACGTATTTTTTTTGAGAGCGAGACAGAGGTAGAAAAAGATAGGGAGAGAGATAGCACTCAAGCTGGGAGGAGAGGGAGAAGCAGGCTCCCCACTGAGCAGGGAGGGATTCCCAAGGCAGAACCCTGGGATCAGGACTTGAGCAGAAGGCAGATACTTAACTGACTGGGCCCCCCAGGTGCCTCTGTGCTGACTTCTTTGTGTAGGTTATTTACTAACACAGCAATTCTAAGACAGTGGTATTATTACCTAGATTTAAAGATGTGAAACATGCCCAGAGCAATGGTTTTTAAAGCAAAGTTGTCAAACCTGGGGGATTTCTGAGACTCTTGGGGATCCATGAGGTCAAAACTATTTCATAATAATACTTAGACTTTTCTTGCCTTTTTCACTGTGTTGACTCTGCACTGATGCTGTAAAGTGAAATGGTGGATAAAACTGCTGGTGCCTTAATGAGCACTGGGTATTATATAAGACTGATGCATCACTGACCTCTACCTCTGAAACAAATAGTATATTATACATTAATTAATTGAATTTAAATTTAAAAAATTGAGGTGCCGGGGCGCCTCGGTGGCTCAGTGGGTTAAAGCCTCTGCCTTTGACTCAGGTCATGTTCTCAGGGTCACGATCGAGCCCCGCGTCAGGCTCTCTGCTCAGCGGGGAGCCTGCTTCTCCCTCTCTCTCTGCCTGCCTCTCTGCCTAGCTGTGATGTCTCTGTCAAATTTAAAAAAAAAAAAAAAAATTGAGGTGCCTGGGTGGCTCAGCTGTTTAGCGTCTGCCTTTGATTCAGGTCATGATCCCAGGAGACCAGCATAGGGCTCCCTGCTAGGCAGGAGGCCTGCTTCTCCCTCTTCCTCTGCCCCTGCTTGTGTTCCTACTCTCACTGTCTCTCTGTCAAATAAATAAATAAAATCTTTAAAAATAATAATAATAAATTAAAAAAATTTAAAACCTGCCGATGCCTTAGTATATTTTGAAGCTCTGTCACCAAACTGTATTGGTATCATTTTTATCATTACAAGTTTGCAGTTTAAAAAAGTGTTTCTCGGGGCACCTAGGTGGCTCAGTCGGTTAAATCCTCTGCCTTCAGCTCAGGTCATGATCCCAGGGTCTTTGGATCGAGCCCCACATTGGGCTCTCTGCTCAGCAGGGAGCCTGCTTCCTCCTCTCTCTCTTTCTCTGCCTCCCTCTCTGCCTACTTGTGATCTCTGTCTGTCAAATAAATAAATAAATAAATAAATAAATAAATAAATAAAAAATATATATATTAAAAAAAGGTCAGTTTCTTAGACTCTTAGAAAATAGAAAATGGTTGCCAGGGACTGGGGGTATATAGAAAGGGGGAATATTGTTCTTCATCTTCTTTTTTTAAAATTTGTTCATTTGAGAGGGAGAACTAGAGAGAACACACAGAAGGAGTGGGAGAGAGAGAAGCAGACTCCCTGCTGAGCAGGGAACCCGAGGGAGGGCTTGATCCCTGGACTTTGAGATCCTGACCCAAGGCCAAAGGCAGATGCCTAACTGACTGAGCTACCCGGGCACCCTGGGAATATTGTTATTCAGTAGGTACAGAGTGTCAGTTTAGCAAGATGAAAGAGTACTGGGAATTTGTTATACTGCAGTGTGCATACAGTGACTATTGAACTGTATACTTAAACATAGTTAAAAGGGGCACCTTTTATGTTTTTTGAGATCAAGAGTCCCATGGTCTTCCAACTCTTCCAACTGAACCAGTCAGGTGTAGCCTTCCCTCCCACCCCCGCCCATCCCCTCCACCTGCCAAGGCACATTTTATGTCATGTGTTTTTTGTTTTTTTTTTTGTTTTTTTTTTAAAGATTTTATTTATTTATTTGACAGACAGAGATCACAAGTAGGCAGAGAGGTAGGCAGAGAGAGAGGAAGGGAAGCAGGCTCCCTGCTGAGCAGAGAGCCCGATGTGGGGCTCGATCCCAGGACCCTGAGATTGTGACCTGAGCTGAAGGCAGAGGCTTTAACCCACTGAGCCACCCAGGCGCCCCATGTCATGTGTTTTTTACCACAAAAATATATATAGCAAAATAAAAATAGAGTCAGTGTCCCCTAAGAATGCCTTTGATTAAAAAAATAAGTCATTAATTTCATTAATTCTCAACTTTTGAGTATCCATCTTCTTCTTCTTTTTTTTTCTTAAGATTTTATTTGTTTGACAGAGAGAGATTACAAGTAGGCAGAGAGGCAGGCAGAGAGGGAGGGGGAAGCAGGTTCCCTGCTGAGCAGAGAGCCTGATGTGGGGCTTGATCCCAGGACCCTGAGACCATGACCTGAGCTGAAGGCAGAGGCTTAACCCACCGAGCCACCCAGGCGCCCCTAGTATCCATCTTCTTAATATTTTTTGTGAAAAGTGAGAAGTACACATAAAGTACAGCATTTGTCTCCAGGAAAAGCACTTACACAACTGTTTGAAGTTACGAGGTGAAATAGCCACATTTTTTCATGAAATACTCTTTAAATTGAAAGAATGGCTGTCATCTTTACCAACTTTATATCTGCGTGGGATTGCATTTTCTTCATTTACTTAAATCAAAACAACATACAGCAACAGATCGAATACAGGAGCAGACTGCGAATTGAACTGTCATCTATTAAATCAGACATTAAAGAGATTTGCAAAAAAAAATGCAGAACAATGACACTCCCTAATTATTTTGGAAAATAGTTATTTTTTTAAAAGAGTTTATTTATTTGACAGAGAGAGACAGAGAGCACAACCAGGGGGAGCAGCAGGCAGAGGGAGAGGGAGAAGCCAGCTCCCCACTGAGCAGTGAGCCTGATGTGGGGCTTTGTTCCAGGACCTTGGGATCATGATCTGAGCCAAAAGCAGATGCTTAACTGACAGAACCACCCAGGCACCCCAAGAAACTAGCTATTTCTCATTAAAAATATATTATTAATGTTAACATGCATTGGGGTTATTACTTGGAAATGTACATAAATTATATACATTTAAAAATTTCCCCAGTTTTAATTTTAGTACAGTAAGTATCACTACTTTTATGTCATTCATATAAAAGTTCTTTGGGGTTCTGAATAATTTTTAAAATTGTAAAGGAGGGCGCCTGGGTGACTTAGTGGGTTAAAGCTTCTGCCTTCAGCTCAGGTCATGATCTCAGGGTCCTGGGATAGAGCCCAGCATCGGGCTCTCTGCTCCGCGGGGAGCCTGCTTCCTCCTCTCTCTCTCTGCCTGCCTCTCTGCCTACTTGTGATCTCTGTCTGTCAAATAAGCAAATAAAATCTAAAGAAATAAATAAATAAAGTAAAATTGTAAAGGAGTCACAAAACCAAAATATTTGAGCACCAGTAGCATAAAGGAGACAAATAATTCTGCTACTTGTCTCGCCATATTACCAGTATTCAGCTCCCTTTCAACCACTCATTCAACATTTACTTAGTGG